TTGTTACATATATGCATGGAGTGTAACAACTCTAGATAATGTTAAAATTTACAAATTTCACTTGAAACTTTAACTTTAAGTTTCTGTGAATGTAAACCAATAAACCCTAAACTAATAAACCATAAACCTTGAATCCTAAACCAATAAACCCAAGAACATACATTGATGTTATCTCAGCTTTTTTGTCTATAAATTGAAGCTGATATGGCAAGAGATAAATCAACGATGATATGGCGAGATGGCAAGAGATAAAGATAGATGGCGGTGGTGAAAATTAGAGAGAGCTAGATGGTGATAGAGAGTTGACAAAGCTAGACGGGTGATGTTCCTTTTGGAAGGATAGAGAAATCGAGAGCATTTAATTTTTCTAAAAGGTTTTTACGGGTATTTTTATCAAGTAATGATAAAAAATGGGTAAAAAGCAATTAATTTTATATTGAAGGCCATTTTGAAATATTTTTTTCAAACTAGGCTGTGACCTAGAGCCTAGTGGGCCGTAGCTCACAACCTGCGACCTCCCCTAGTGGGAGCTATGGCCTACCTTTTTCTGAAATTTTTTTTTGGAAAAGTTTTTGTACATTTTTTTAAGAGGGCTTTAACGTACCTACAAAATAAAAATAGTACTTGGGTGGCCTCTCAAGAAACGCTTCTTTATAGTCATAAGCTTGAATATGGCACCCCTTTCTGCATTACTTTATATGGCTTGAGACTTTTCTATTGACTTTGACTACTTTAATAACCCTACTATAAATCTCAATAACATCATAAGGATGAATCTTTACTACTTTAAAGGTTTTTCCCTAATATGGTTTAAGATTCTATGGCACAAGATGAAGTTATGAATAAGAAAATACTACTTGCTGTCCAACCACAAAATCAAGATGACTGGAAAGTGGTGGTGGTGATGGTGGTTTTGTCTCAAGAATTGGCACCTGCTTTGTTAAAGGCGATAGGCTAGGCTTACCTTTACCCTCATTAACTAAATCTATTTTATAGTAACTATCTGTGTAGGGATTTTGAGTTGTATTGAACAAATTAAATACCATTTCCTCATCTCTAACTTTGAAAGTTATTTTTCCATTCTTTGCATCAATAATTGCTCCAACTATAGCTAAGAATGGTCTTCTCGAAATAAGAGGAATTTAACATCATTTTCAATCACCAGCATAACAAAGTCCACCAGAATGTATTGATGCCCAACTTTTAGAAAAACATCCTCTATAATCCTAACTGGGTGCCTGATTATTCTATTTGCTAATTGCAAGGTATTTGTAGTAGGTTGTATCTTTTTAAATCCAAGTTTTCTAGCAATAGATGAAGACATTATTGAAACACTAGCACCCAAATCATACAAAGCTTTAGAAATTTTAAAATTACCAATAGTGCAAGGAATAGAAAAACTCTTTAGATCTTTGAGCTTTGGTAAAAGCTTATTCTGAATTATAGCACTGCACTCTTCAGTAAGTGCAACTATCTTAAACTTTTCCAATTTCCTCTTTTTTGTCAATATGTCTTTAAAGAATTTAAAATAACTTGGCATTTTTTCTAACGTTTCAGCAAAAAGAATATTAATGTGTAGCTTTTTAAATAGCTCAAGAAATCTCTAGAATTGTTTGTCAAGTTTGTTCTTTTGAAAACATTAAGCAAAAGGTGATAGAGGTGTGGGAGTAGGTTTTAATTGTTATTTTTTTTTGAATTTTCAACAGATTTTTCAACCACAATTTCTTTTTCAGCATCTTTTTCAATTTCTTTCTCATCTGATTGAATTAAAATCTCAGAATTTAAAGCTTTATTACTTACCTCTTTGCTTACCTTTTTTCCATTACAAAGAGATTACCATACAATGTTTCTTACCTTCTCTTCTTGGGTTGGGTTCAGTATTACTTGGTAAGGTACCATGAGGTCTAGTATGTAAAGCACTAGCAAGTTAGCCCATTTGTGTCTCAAGATTTCTAATTAAAGCTGCTTGATTTTGAATAGAGGCATTAGTCCTTGTCATAAATGTATCGGTCTTTGTTACGAATGCATCAATTTTTGTCATGAATTGCATGAACATATCCTCCATTGAATTCTTTTTCTTTGGCATGGGGACTCTAGATAGAAATCCAAGAGGAAAGTTTGACTTAGCTATTAATGAATACCCTTGGTTGTTATTTCATAAAAAACTAGGATGATTCCTCCAACTAGGATAACGAGTGTTGGAATAAGGATTGTTCTGTTGCCTATTTCCAACATTTGACAAGACTCAGAATAAATGGGACAATTGTCATTGGAATGTCCTTCCTCACAAAATTCCCACATCATAAAAGAGGACTGAATAGCATTAACACTTAATTTATCCATTTTCTTTGCAAGAGAAGCCAATTATATAGACACAGTGTTTATCACATCTAATTCATGAATTCTAGCTATTTTTCTTGTACCCAATCTTTATGATGGCCATGGATAATTATTGGAAGTTATCTCTTCAAGTAAATCATAAGCCTCATCAATGGATTTACTCATGAGTACACCTCTAGCAGTAGCATCAATGGTAGCTCTAAAAGGTCTTAGCAAATGATTAGAAAAAGTCTAAACTTGCAGCCACTTATGTAATCCATAGTGAGGACACCTTCTTATCAAATCTTAGTACCTTTCCCAAGCATAGTGATTCAGAATCAAATTGCATGAGGAAAGTGATATCATTCCGCATCTTTGCTGACTTAACGAGGGGAAAGAATTTTGCTAAGAATTTTTGAGTCAAATCATCCCAACGATTAATGGAACCAGCAAGAAGTGAATTTAACCAACTCTTTGCTTTATCTCTCAATAAAAAAGGGAAAAGCCTCAATCTTATGGCAACATCAATAACACCATTAGCCTTGAATGTATCGCAAATTTTCAAGAAATTTACAATTTGAGCATTCATATCATCATTTGGTAAACCCCCAAACTGAACAACAGTCTAAATCATCTAAATGATTGATGGCTTAATTTCAAAGTTGTTGGCTTAAATAAGAAGTCTTTGAATACTAGAGTGGAGATTTTGTACTCGTGGGATGGCATAGTCCCTCAAAAGCTTGGTCTCTCCCTCTTGTTGTTTAGCCATTATTTTACTTGGAGCATAAACTTTTTTATTTTTCCTCCGAAGTCTTCTAAAAGTCTTTTCAATTTCTGGATCCAAAAGAACAATTTCTAAATATCGGGTTCTTCACATACAATAACTAAAAATACTTGAAAAATTAAAAAAAAAGATAAGTCTAGATTAAGATTAAGAATGCTTGATATTATATTAACAAGAAAAAATTAAAAATAAATTTCCCAACAACAACGTCAAAAACTTGTTGTTGATTTTTCACGTCAGCGCATATATCGTTAACAAGTAATATAATAGTAAATAAAAATCGTTCTCATGAAAAATTGAATTAATTCCTAATTGCTACTAACAACCTAATCTTATCCAAGCAACCAAATTATTAAAAAGAAAAATTAAAATTGATAACTAATTTAAAATCTATCAACAAAACTATCTTATTAAATTCAAATAACTACCAGACCTAAGATTATGATATCCCTTAATTCTTTATCTGAATATTGTCTTTCTCTCTTAACTTATTTTAATGGATTAAGTTGTTAACCTAGAGTCTTAAATTATTTACAAGTCTCTGTCGAGTTTCTCATAAAAATATTTCTCTCAATTAATTTACTATATGTCTATGCAAATTAATTAAAAAAAGATTCATTAAATTCGTGGTCTAATTTAGGCTACGTATAGCTTATAGGTGTATATTTACCCTATATGCAAATCAAATTATCTAATCAATTAAATTTATTCGATCATACGTTATTTTATTCAAGATCTACCTAAATCTTCTTTGTCAAGGTTTAATTTAGATTTTCAATTCAATATAATTATTATATTTTATTACCTTTTTGTTAACAAATTATAATATTAAAATTTATGAACGTCATCTATAATTATAAAATATACAAATTATATATAAATTAAATATATGATATATAATATATATTACTTTATTATATAAAAGAAATTAATGATACAAATTATATGTTATAATATTTTAATTTTTATATCAAAGTTTGTTATAAATAATAACTAGTTATAAGCAATATGTTATAAAAATTAAGGCGATAACTAATAACATTATTAAATGTAATTATGTAAATAAAGTCTATCATAAGTTACAGTAATGCTTATATATAAATTAAATATATGTATAGATAATCTATTACTTTATTATTTACATATGAAATTAATGACACAATTTATATATTATAATATTTTATATCAAAGTTTGTATAAATAATAACTAATTATAAATAATATGTTATAAAAACTAAAGTGATAATTAATAAGTTTATTAAGTGTAATCATATAAATAAAGTTTATTATAAGTTATATAATGCTTATTTACAAATTAAATATATATAATGTTTATATAATTTTATATATATTTATAACATTTTATATTACGAAATATTACTAAGGTGTAATAATTATAACATATTAATATGTAGAATATTTACTATCATTTATTATAATATTATCATATAAGTTATATCATTTAAAATATATAATTTATAATTTCATATTAATACAGATTTATAAATAAATATATATATAAGTAAAATTAAATTACTATAATTAAATTTCATATAATAAATTAATATACTTTAAATATATTGTTAATTAAATTTATTATTAATTCTTTTTAATATATATTAAAATATTATCTTTATATTAATATATAATTAAAAATTTTAAAATTGAACACCGATAAAATAATAATTGAATCAAATATTTTGAACTAACTGATCCAATAAATCAATTAAATTAAATTATTTTTCTCAGATTATTTTTAATTTAAATTAATAATTAATTTAATTTGATTTTGTTTACCTCTGCCGAAATGGATTAATCAGCGGCATGGGCACAGCGACACTGATGTGCAATTAATTGGTGACTCGGGGGCGGGCACAACTGCCGCTGAACCGCACCTGCTTCCACATGGGACAGCGCCTGCCGCCCACCACCCTTTCCCACTAAAATTTCAAAACCCCTTTGCAAAGTGAAATTTGAAACCCCACACCACGCGTACTCGGCATTTCCTTGTAATCCAATCAATAATTAACAGATAAAATAATAAATAATAAAATTCAGGAAAGTAAAAAATACGTGTCTTATTGAGCTTCACTAAGCACAAAGACGATTACCATTTATTTCTGGATACGCCACCTCACTTCTTTGTCTTTCCTTTTGAATTATTATTATTATTATTTTTATTATTATACCTTTTTCCTTCCGTATTCCACAACAGATTAACAGATCGGAAGGATTGGGAGGCGGGGGTAGGGGGAGGGTGAATATGGCGACGGCGTCGTTTAACAAGATCGAGAGGGCCCACCAGATGTACAGACAAGGGAGGTACGAGGAAGCGCTTGGTTACTACACGGAGGCGCTGGCTGTTGCCAAAACCAAGCCTCAGAAGATCGCTTTGCACAGTAACAGAGCTGCTTGTTACTTGAAATTACATCATTTCAAAAAGGTTTTTCTTATCCTTTATTCCTTTGAATTGCCGTGATTTTTGCTTCTTGGGTTTTCTTATTTATTAGATTTAGTAAATATCTTGCTTCAGATTGGATTTCGAAGGGCTTTGGGAACATGAAAAAAAGTTGTATTTCAATGTTTTATTTGGACATTTTTGGGTGTAATTTAATATTTTCATGGACAAAATCTTGGTTTTGTGAGAGTTTTATTAATATGCTTTTGACGGATGAATAAGAAGAAAGTAAAGCAATTTCTACCTTTTTTTTATTGTTTTATTAAAAAAGATATATTTTTTATGTTTCTAGAGATTTTAGTAGAAAGTTTAATTTTCTTTCACTAAGATGTTATTAAAGTTTTGAAATTTACTAATTCGCAATAAGATTTGTGGAATGATTTTATGTTTTTGGAATAGAGAGGGAAAAAGGGTTGAAACAGTGACATAGATAACACGATTTCCTTGTTTTATTAGATTATCTAAGTAGATATAATGTTGAAGCTATTAATTTAAAATTCAGTATTGTAACTAAAGTTCTTATTTAAAATACATAGTTGTGCTTTTATTCTAGATTCTAGTAAGAATCCACATTTGTTCCTTTAAGCAATCGAAACTGTCACGGTTCAGTAGCCCATTTGATAATGCAAGATTCGAATTTCAACAACTATAAGTTATGAAAAGTATGATGTTGTATTCTTCAATTTGATGCTTGATGAAGGGGTATGCATAACTTGCACGTATAGACAGACTCACGTACATGCACATATGCATTTGCCTGCATGCTCAGACACACGCAAAGTTCTTTAGAAAGGTTTAAGTTTTTTGGATATTCCAAAAAATTCACTAGAACAGCGATAGCAGCAATAAAGAAAGCATTTTCCCACTATGTCAGATTGGCTCTGTGGATTAAATTTAGCCTTTATGCTATGTTAATGACCATTTCTTGAGTATGATCATGTGGGAAAACTTCTTAGGAACTAATTTTGCTTGCTGCTACAAGTTCTTTTATTTTTGTTATTCATGGAATGCATACTTGCTGGGTTACTCATTTAACTTTGATGCGTTGAAACTGTTGTCTACAAACTGATGTTGTTAATTCAACCTTAGGCAGCAGAAGAATGTACCTCAGTGCTTGAGCTTGACCACAAGCACACTGGAGCTTTGATGTTGCGAGCTCAAACCCTAGTCACTCTAAAGGAGTACAATTCAGCCCTCTTCGATGTCAACCAGCTCATAGAGTTGAATCCCTCTTCAGAAGTTTATCATAACCTTCAAGCTCGTTTGAGGACGCAAGTGGTATATCCTCCTATCTCTATGTGGCTGGCATCTTGTGTGTTAAAGCAGTAATTTTACATTTTATTTCACTAACAGTTTGAAATTGTCTGCTGTTGGCTCATACAAAATCAATTGCTCTCTTATTTCCTCTGTATGGAGCTGAATCTGAGTAAATAATTTCTTTAGATGACTTGTTTTCAGATTACTGTTTCACCTTATTTCTGTCCTTTACTCTGATTGATAGGATTGTTCCATCTTTGTCTTCAAAGGTCTCTGGTTTCTAAAATGGGCTACGCAGAACAAGAGAGGGAAAGGGATATAAAATACATGGCAAAGGGTTGGTCCAAGTGCATTGTTTTTGCTGTTGGCTAGCCTCATTATTGTGTTAATCTTGTGATCTATGATGACGAAAAATTGGCAAATACTTAAGAATTTCAAGTTGGTTTGGGGGTGGACTTGGTTTTATAATCATCCTAAGTTTTGTTTTAATGAAGAAATGTGTTTTGGAATGAAACTGATAGAACTCCTATAATCCTTGATCATGTTGCAGCCTGTGTTTTTTTTCTTGTGACCATTTGTTCATGGTCTTTGCCTCATTGGGAAGTTATTACCCCATAAGTTCAATAGTTCTTTCTTATGCTTACTTGTACTTGATCTTCAGGATGTCAATAAGAAAATGGATTTTGTTTTCTTTGCTTAAGGAAAGGCACTTGCTCCAATACCTGAATCTGAAGCAGAGTTGGAAGAAGAGGAAGAAGAGGAAGAAGAACATGGGCAACCCTTCACAATGGAGAATGAAGAGGAACAAGATGACAAAAAGGAAGATATAGTAGTGCCAGCTTTTAGGAAAGATCCAAATGCTAAGCTTAATGAGAATCTGGTTAAAGTAGAAATCATTGCCCCTGAGAAACCTGACCTCAAAGAATCTCCTGAGCAGGAAACAGATTATAAGAATGTGCCCAAAAGAAATCCTGGAGTTACTGCTCCTCAAGCACCAAATGGCAAGGATTCCCAAGGGTGGCAGGCGATCCCTAAACACGAGGGACAGTTAGATGAGAAGAATGTGCCTCAAAGAACTGAAGCTGCTGCTCCTCTAGAACAGGGCGTCAAAGATTCCAAAGGATGGCAGGCAATCCCTAAACCCAAGGGACAGTTAGATGACAAGAATGTGCCTCAAAGAACTGAAGCTGCTGCTCCTCTAGAACAGGGCGTCAAAGATTCCAAGGGATGGCAGGCAATCCCTAAACCAAAGGGACACTCAGCTCTGGACTATGCACGGTGGGATAGAGTTGAAGATGACTCTAGTGAAGATGATGATGATGATGACGACGATGATGAGTCCCAGCCTCAATATCGTTTTCGTGTAAGAACTGTTGGCATGCGACCAGTGAAATGAAATGGGATGAAGTCCAAAATACAATGAATGTTATTAATGTTTCTGATTCTGACATCTCCACAAACAGTCTCCTATGTTGAGGGAAGTGTAGTTTGAGAAGCTGTGGTTGATCTGTCATGTTTAAATATCCAAAGCCAGGGGAATGATATTTTTTTTCAGTTGCCCTGTTTGAGTTTCTCCCTATTGCACTGCCACTCGAAAATTTCAGGCTGCCACCAATATTTTGAAAAAGGCTGCATATTAACAGATGATCCTCATTGATTTTGGAGTCAGGTAATCATCTTTTCTGGTGATGTAATTATTTGCCTGCCTCTTGAAGGAGACATCAAAGCCTGACTCTCCTCTGACTGCTTAAAATGCATCAAGGGAGATGAGAACTTTGAATCTGTCAGCTTGTTTGCATTGGAGGAACAAATTTATACATCAATAGTTTTCTTAATTTGTGGTAATTATCTGGAAATTAATACAAAATCTGTATTTTTATTTATTATGTATACATATATGTATATTTATGACATGATATATATTTGATTATGTTGTTCCGGTCAAGTGAATAATGACTTACCAGGCTGTAATTGTTGTTGATTCTTGAATAAAGTCATTTGATTCTGGGGCATGGAATGCATTTTTAGAACTAGGTGATATGGGTCAAGCCCTTATTCCTGTAGAGATGGGTTTTACGATGGTCTTGGTACAATGTGTGCCTGTACGGAGCCAGCCATTGATTGTACATCAGACATCAGAGTAAATCACCCCTGCCCTCCGTCTCTCAATCTATTTTCTGTTGTGTATGAAGGAAGAGAAAGCAGCCCTGGTTAGTGAAATGTAAATCTTATGCTGAGACTGAAAATCAAGATATTGTTGTAAAATGTAGTCTCTCCACTACCAAGCTTTGTGTATGGACTGTATCCTTGGTAAAGAGCTTTATTTTGTGGGTAAGATGTTTTAATTTTTTTAAGTTTTGATCGAAATTATATATAAATTTATTAATTTTTAAAAAATATATTTTTTAATTAGACAGATAGATTTGGTTGTTAATATTTTAATATTTTCGTCAACTTATTGATACAACAAAAGTAAAAGAAAAATTTTATTTTTAATTAATTTTTATAATTATAATATTTTTTTAGTAATTAAAAAAACAAAAGCTCTTCATTGGAGAGCATCGAAACTCCCCTAGGAAGCATTGATCAAGCTCCGTAAGGGAGCACCTGAGGCTTCCCAAGGGAGAATCGAGGGAGCGAGCCCTATGCTCTCTCTTAGGAAAGGGAGCACTGATGCGGTGCTTTTTATTTTTTAAAATTAATAAAAAATATTTTAATTTATTATTATTATTATTATTAATGTTTCTAGTCGGACGTTTATTTTTAAAATTAATAAATTTTTATATAATTTGAATTAAAATATAAAAATCAGAGTGTTTATTTTTGCTTTTTCTTTACTTTACCCTTAGTCGGTGATATGAAATAGTAGAAATGTAATAATTATAAAATAAGAAATATATATTATTTTTGATAAAAATAGTTTAAAAATAAAACAGATAAAATATTCATTATTATATTTTTTGATTTTTAATTTGAAATATTATTTTTTTGATAATTTATAAAAAATATTAATATTTTAATATGATTGTTTATTTTGAAGTATTAATATTTTTTTAATTTATATAAATCTCAATAATTATTCAAATTTTAATTAATGAAATGAAATCATAAATTTAAGCGAGGGCGTCGTAGCGGTAGTTGATAAAGAAAGCTGACAAGCTTTCTGAATGTCCTTTTCCCCCTTTTGTCAGATTGTTTTTGGGTTTGGAGGGAAAGCCCTCCGAAATTTTAAATTCAGACAAATCGCCCGCAAATTAAGTCCGAAATCTACCAACCCAAGAATAATAATAATAAACAACGAATTTATTCAAATCCATTATTTTATTTTATAATTATTGCATGCTCCATTTCTCTTGTCTGTTTTGAATGTTTTCGTTTCCCCAACAAACCCAAACCACAGAAGAAGAGACAGCATCGGCGATGTCGCAGGGCGGCGGCGGAGGAGGAGGTATGGAGTTCAATTTGCCGGAGGAGATTCTGGCCGTCATACCGACGGACCCGTACGAGCAGTTGGATCTGGCGCGCAAGATAACGTCGATGGCAATCGCGTCGAGAGTGTCGAAGATGGAGGCGGAGATGGGGAGGATGAGGGCAAAAATGTACGAAAAAGATCGTGTTATTTACGATTTGGAAGAGAAACTCTCCAGATTGCAGCAAGCGAATTACGATGCTGAGTCCAGATTAAAGATTACTCTTGATGAAAATGTTGGTCCTTTATTTTTATTTTTAATTTCTTAAAACTTGGTTAGGGATTTTTATGGTTGTTTTTGAAAGAATTTGAAATTTAGGTAAATATGGTTGGGTTTTTTTATGCCTTTTTTTTTTCCTTTATTTCTATTTCTACAGTTTTCTCATCCTTCCTCACGAACATGGTGTTAAGTAGAAATTCGGTTGGATTTTTATAATTTTATTTCTAAATTTCTGTGTGGTGATTATTTTTGTGGGCGTTTATTAGCTATTTATATATGTTTTTGAGGTTTTCGGAGGAAACGAGGAACCTTTTTTGGGAAAAAAATTCGGTCTTATTTTGAGGAATTATTTAAATTTGCGGGGTTTTGATGATTTTGTCTTGTTTCTGATTGAAGATTAAGCTTTCAAAGGAGCGAGATTCATTGGCGATGACTGCAAAGAAACTTAGCCGTGATTTATCTAAGGTGAGATTGTAATTTCCATTTCTTTTCTCAATTCACCAATGTAAGTAAGTTTCTTTAGTGTAATTTATTTTCTAAAATAAACTACATGCTACTTATTATGGAAATGTGGTGACTTGATAAGTTATTTAATATTAACAAGTTTGAGCTTCTGCTAAATGTTAAACCCAAAATGAGGCAGTGAGCCAAAGTACTTCTGATTAAGAAATGGATACTGTTTACTCTGTTGGTTTTTGTAATTGCTTCTAATGAACTAGTTTCCTGATAAAGTAGCTTCAGGTAGTGTTTTGGGCTAGATGACAATGGAATTGATTTTGTTTGTGGGTGAAATTTGTAATTAAATAAATTCATTTAAAAATGAATTTATTATTATGTTTGAAATCTGTGGATAGCTGGAACTTTAAAAGTTCAGTGAATTATATATTTCAAAAGAAATCAACATAGTTATTTGGAATCTGCATATTCCAAAAGAAAAAGAAAAGCTCTAATCATTTTGTCAATTTAAGAAATGTTGCTGTTTCTCTGACTTGAATTAAGTTCTGACTATTCTTAATATGTTTCGGTTCAAATTAGTGCATTTCCATGCCTGTAGAAAATAGAGAATTGAAATGTAGTTCGAACAACATATCTGCAAAGCAACCACCTTATTAACGAGCTATAACTTTGGCTATGAAGTTTCCTGCCACTTTAATATTTTTCTGGTGTAATGTGGAATATTCAGGGCCAGGAACCATTTTATGTAGAAAAGATTCTTTGCTCTTTTTAATATGTATCTGTTGCCAGGAGGTTCATAGGGCTTCTTTCCTTAGTGTAGAACTAAAGAATGTTTGAAATCATAGCCCAAAAAGAGTTAGTGGGCTGTTTTCATGTGCATTTAATGTGCTGTCAGCTATCTAATTCTAATACTAGTATATTTCATGCTTATAATAATTTATTCATGGACTGGAACTAGAGTATTTATTTAACTTTTTACATAAAGAAATTTAAGGGTGCTCCATGCAGTTGGTGAGTAGTATCTTTATTAAAACAGATTCTTGAGTTTCTCAGTAACCTAGTGCTGTACTTCTGCGTCACATGATGATGTTAAAGACTTAGGAGTGCACTAGCATCCTGCATATTTTGTCTGTTGCATTGTGGATACTTGATTAAAGCATTTTTTAATCTATATCTACTGCCAATTCATTTGGTAATATTTATATTTATTCTATTTAGAAGCATATAAAAATAATGCATTTTAATATTTGGCAGTTGGAGACTTTTAAGCGGCAACTGATGCAGTCACTAAGTGATGACAATGCATCCGTAAGATTTCCGTGTTTAGCCTTTTTGTTGTTTATATTTTTCATGATTCAAGAATGAATATTTCTGTTGTTCCTCAAGAAATATTTGTCTGCTTTATCTGCTTTCTGTACACTTCACTTTCTGTTTGTTCAGATATTGGAAGAAACTGATTTTTTAATCTGTCTTCAATATTATTTAACAGCAAGCTGAAACAGTTGATATTGGGACTTGTGACCAGGCAGTCCCTAAAGCCTATCCTGAAAAGGGTATTGTTAAGCTTACTTGATGTTTCTTTTCTTCAATAGGTTTCTCCCCGTTGTATATTCATAGTTTCTCTCCCTTCAGAAATTCAACTATAGCCTATTTCCACCTTCTCGTTTCTTTCCATTACCAACTTCTATCTTGTTGCCAATATTCTGATCAATGTTATACTTCCTTCCACATAGATGAGGGGATGAACGGCTACGCATCACTTCGTTCTTCAAGTGGTTCAACCGACATGGGAAACACAATTGATGAAGGTAATTGGACAAGTTTCTTTATGTTTTTATTTTTTAATCTTTTGAGTGTTTTCATGCTCTACTGAGCCTGTCATTAGTTGTAAAAGAAACTATGTTTCATACCTGATTGGTTTTCTAAAAGTAAAATGCAAATTTTAAGCTGAATTTTTTCCAGCAGCCACAAGACATGCTGGGCAAAGATTTTCTATAACTCCATATATCACACCACGGCTTACTCCTACTGGAACTCCAAAAATTATATCCACAAGTGGGTCCCCTAGGGGTTATTCTGCTGCTGGTTCTCCCCAAAGAACCTCTGGTGCAACATCTCCGACAAAGCTTCAATATGATGGGCGCACTTCTCTCTCCTCATGGTATCCATCAAGCCAGCAGTCATCTGCTGCTAATTCTCCTCCTCGTGGGCGTTCACTGCCAGGTTTTATAAGAATTGCTGTTATTCTGATTCGATTTATTGGTTATGCTGTGACCAACTAATTTTTTTCTTGATTAGTTACCTCTTCCGCTTTTATCTGACCTAGTTTTCCTTTTATGTTAAAAATTGATTAGGACGGACTCCTCGAATTGATGGAAAGGAATTCTTTCGTCAAGCCAGGTAAGTTCTATTGTGTGAGTTCTGTGTGTGTGTATTCATATATGTGTATATATAATTATGTATTTGTGCATGTGTTTGTATGCATGGAGAGTTATATTCAACTATTATCCATCATGGTAAAAGTTCCTTGCTCATCACAAACTGATCTGAAATATGTGTAATCCAGGAGTCGCCTTTCCTATGAACAGTTCAGTGCATTTTTGGCTAACATCAAAGAGCTAAATGCTCAGAAGCAAACGCGAGAGGTATGAAGTTGATTTCATCAAAGACTTCTACATCAGTTTAGTGTTTGAACCTTTCCTGCTTGCTGAGCTAATTTAATGGTTTTTATATTAATTTGTTTTCAGGAAACTTTAAGGAAGGCGGAAGAGATTTTTGGGACAGATAACAAAGATCTGTTCCTATCGTTTCAAGGATTGCTAAATCGCAACATTCACTAGATCTGGAAAATTTTCTCTTTTTGAG